TTGTATCAGATTCCAATTATAGAAATCATATACTCATATATACATCACATCAGTCAGGATTCAGCCACAGAAAAGAGAAATTACTCAAGCTACTTCAAATAGAAAGAGACATATATATATAAAAAAAAAAAAAATCAGATCTATACAAAATCACCGAGGAACTGTAGATGGAGGGACTCAAGAGGCCTCTTGAGAGGTTGACCAGCCTGCCAAGGTCCTAGTACCCAGATCACAAGATGGAGCCTAGCTGGAAGCTGTGTCCCCCAAGGCAGAGGAGAGATGATGGTCCCTTTTCTTCCCTCCTTTCCCCATAACCACTAGTCTACTCATATGGTATAAAGAATGTTTAAATCTAACACCACATTTTCCTGCCTCCATATTTATAAACGAGAAACAAACACCAAAGAATCTTTGCTGTGAAGAATGTAGGCTCTGGAGTTCGAAGACCCAGATTTAAATCCCACTCCGTATTTTCCTACACGACCCTCCATCTTGGCACCTGAGCACCTTTGTTGGTAAAGGGAGTAATGTCAATGCCTTCCCCACAGGGCTGCCTGAGGGTCAGCAAGGTCAGGGGGCCACACACTTAGTAAAGTAAAACTGCTCCCAAAATGTAGCGATTGCTTTTCTAATATTTTCCTATACTTATCAGGTATTATTTATCATGTATTGATTTTATCAGCAGAGAAACAAAAACCTCATTTTAGAAATATCCAAGCTGGATGTTAACCTTCCAAAAATAATCACGGTCTGAAGAAAAATATATAACTTTCAAAACTTGTTGCCTTGCATCAGGTTCTGTCCGTTGTATATCTGCTTCCTGTTGATAAGGGGAAGAATAAAGACACAAGTTCTATTTAAAAGTCAAGAGTCAGTAGACTGAGTATTTTCATTCTCAAGGCCATTAATTCTGCACAGCAAATGTCATTCTCCATCTTTTGCATAAAAAGCACCCTGTTTTGGCATTTGACAATGAATGAATACATTTGGGGGGACAAAGGGAAGATGTGATAATAAAAAGGAGTAAAGGAGACAACTGGTTTTCAGTGAAGGCTGACTATTGATTATACAGCCATCTAAATATGGACATTTATAACTGATTTAAATGTAAACTCAGATGTAAACTCATATTAAATGTAAACTCAGGTGACCCCTTTGGTAGTGGCTACTCGATTTCCAGCCTGGTCCCCAGATTCGGGCGCCACTATCTCTCCTTATGGAACAGGGACCCTGAGGGAATATGCCTGACAGTTTACATTTTCACAGGCATGCTTTGTCCCTCGATGCCACGGCCTCCCTTTGGGTTAGTCAGCTCCAGCTTCTCTTGCCAAAAGGAGACTCCCAAGTCCGGTGCTCTGGTCATTGCCCTGTGCTGCAGAGGACATCTTCCAAGGGCCACGTGGGCGATTCACTTTATAACAACAGCTACCCTTTTTAATTACTCTTAAAACCTCCCTGCTGGGATGAGTCAGGTTTTACTCCTTGCAAATCTTCAGAAGGTTTGGGAGTTGGAAAGACAGTCACCAGAGCATGGACAGTAGGTAAACTAGGAACGTCACTGAATTTCAGCGTGGCATATTTCATGGCTTGTTCCTTTTCTACATCAAACAACCTCATGGTCTCCAGAGACAAAAAAGCATCCAAGTACATGAACTTTAAAGGACTTAAGTATAAACCCCAATAGGAAGTGATTTTACTTTTATTTCCAAATTCCATTACACACAAGTAAAGGAAGTAAAGCTATTAATTTGGTCGGCATTACAGATAAGGACCAAGCAGGAAATGACTTTGTATGTGACATCATCGAGGGCCTGTGTCAGAGCGGGGACGGGCGGGGCATGTCCTTTGTCCCGTACAGATCTTTCCCAGCCTTCTCTGAATGAAAGAATAGTACAGGCAGGACCAAATGTAATTATGTTACCTCAACATGGATTGTGCTGCTCTGTGTGACCATGATGCAGACATTAATAATGAAAGAAACAAAGGAGAAAAGAGGGAAGGGGGGTGGCCGGGGGGGGGGGAGTTAAAGCTCTAATTATTTAGTAAGATAAACCTTAGCTGGAGAAGCCAGTACATGTTTCTAGGAATTTTATATCCTAGTGAAGTAATTGTGTCCTTGTGTCATTTTTAATAGGAGCCTTTCTACTTTAGAGAATACTTAGGAGGGTGCTCGATGGAAATCACATTCATCTTACACATGCAACCTTTAATTGTCAGGCATGAGGATGCGGAAGAAAGACAAATTAGGCTCAAATCCCAGTTTGCCTGACTCTGAGCAAGTTACTTAGTTTCTTCACCTGCAACATAGTGTCAGTTATGCCCACCACCCGGGGTGGTTGTGAGGATTAAATGAGCTGATGCTTGAAAATGCCCAGCACAGTTGACACCCAATAAATGTTTGCGGTAACTTCCTCCCCCTGACTGCTTAGTAGATAACTGATTGGTTTTTGGTTTTAGATTTTTCTTTAAATTGTGGTAAAACATAAATGACATAAAATTTGCCATCTCATTCCTTTTTAAGTGTACACTTTAGTCCCACTGCTGTGCAACCAATCTCCAGAACTCTTTTCGTCTTGCAAAACTGAAATGCTCCACCCATCAAACGGTTCCTGTCTCCTCCTCTCCCCAGCCCCTGGCCGCCACCGTTCTATTTTCTCTTTGTGAATTTGACCACTCTAGGTCCCTCATATGAGCGGAATTTGCCTTTTTGTGACCGGCTTATTTCAGATAATCAGTTTTTTAGATCACTTCCTGAGACTTGACAAATTTTTACACTCAGACACATTTTGGCAATTTTATGTTATATTGCAATATTGCATGGTTCCCAACTATTTAGGTAGAAGTGTGAAGTTGTCAAAAATAAAGGTGATCCATTATGGGTTAGATCATGTGAGTTGCATGGATGGATTTTACACAAGTATAGTCAATTCTCAAATCACCTGCCATCACTTGTGATTTATCCCTTTTACTGCTTGTAAATTCCTAGAGGTCAGGTGGTCGCTGGTCTGCATTAAGAGTATGATAGATACTAATGGACTAATTAATAAATTAATAAATCTATGAACTGCTAGCAAGAAAGTATTTATCATAGGGCATTTCCCTTACTATTGATTCTGTGCCACATCTTTACTCATCAACTGATGGTACTTAGAGAATGCAAAAAAGATCAACTTTTGGATCATGGACACTTCTGTGTCCCATCAGCTTCTTAACATCAACACGTGGCAGATTTGTTTAGTTTTCAAATTCTGTAGTACTAATTGATTTGTAACAGCAGCGTTGGCAAAGATTTTAAACATTAAAATATTCAGAAGTGGTCAGGGTAAGAAGAAATAGGGGCTTGAATACAAGTGATAGTAGAGGGGCACCTGGTGGCTCAGTCGTTAAGCGTCTGCCTTGGGCTCAGGTCATGATCCCAGGGTCCTGGGATCGAGCCCCGCGTCTGGCTCCCTGCTCAGCGGGAAGCCTGCTTCTCCCTCTCCCACTCCCCCTGCTTGTGTTCCCTCTCTCGCTGTCTCTCTCCCTCTCTGTCAAATAAATAAATAAAATCTTAAAAAAACAAAAACAAGTGATAGTAGAAATTGAAACCTTTAAGAGGGCAGTTAAATTTTTTTTGTGCATTCTTCCCCTCCCCACAACTCTGCAAGTTTATTTCTCGTTAATTTATTCCACAGAGATGATCATACAAATGTTCAAAGATATAGGACTGTGGCAAACTGAATAATGGCCCCCTAGAAATGTCTACATCTTAATCCCCAGAACCTGAGAAGCTGTGGGTCATGTTCATGACAGGGAGTAATAAAGATTACAGACAGAATTAAGGCTTCTAATCAGCTGAACTTAATATAAGATGCTGCTGGATTGTACGAGGTGGGCCCAATGTAACCCTGAGGGTCATTTAAATGTGGATGAGGAAGGCAGAAGAGTCAGTGGAGGAGTGATTCCATGTTAGTGTGAAAAGACTCAACCAACATTTGCCGTTTTTAAGGTGGAAGGGAGCCAGAAGCCAAGGGATATAGCTGCCTTTTGAAGCTAAAAGAGGCAAGAAAAAGGATCCGCCCCAAGAGCCTCCAGAGCCTGTCAACACCTTGATTTTAGCTCAATGAAATCTGTTTTGGATTTCTGACCTCCAGAACAGGAAGGTTATAAATTTGTGTTGTTTTAAGCCACCAGGTTCACAATAATTTGTTACAGCAACGATAGGAAACTGACACAATGACCACAGATGTTCAGAGCAGCATCATTTGTGACAAAATCTGTAAGCAACCTAAAGTCCATCAATAAAAGCCTGATAAAACATTGTGTCATCAACATGGATGTAGAAGATTTTAGACTTTCACCAAAGAGAGAGCTTTTGGAGGTAACCTCTCTCTCTACTTTTGGCAAGAGCTTGCCAGTCGATTTAAAATAAAAGAGAGGGAAAATATAGCAAAGATATTCCAGTTCATAAATTATCCTGCTTGTAAATGCATCGCAAATATAACACGGAGATGGTAGTACCTTTGGGTCACCCAGTCTTATTTCTTTCTTAAAATAAATCTATAAATATGCCAAGCACTGTGTTAACCAGGAGGAGGTACAGAGAAAAGAAGCTGACTCAGTAGAGAAGGAGAAGCAGGCACGAGAATTCCATGAAATGCAGGAGAGGCCAAGGCAGAGGAAAGCTTGGGCGCGCCGGGAGCACAGGGAGGGGTACCTCACTAAGTCAGGGTAGGAGGGCGGGACAGGGAGAGCGGCCAGGAGGAGGAAAAGCCTGCACCCAGCCCCAAAGGAGGAGTGGGATTCAGCCAGACAAAGACGACTTGGAAGGCCTTACTGGCGGAGGAAGCAGCTTGCAAAAGGCTGGCATGGTGTCCAGTGTGGTGTGTGGGTGGGGTGGCACAGGAGAAAACCAGTCAACTCAAAAATGCTACACAAAGATGCCTACAGAATTAGCTGTTTTACGTTCTCGGAACCTGTTTCCACACCTTCATTATAGAATCATGAAACCTTCCTTGCAGGAGAGGATGAAGGGATCTGCCCAGAGTCTCAGGGCCAGAAAAGGAAGACCTGGCTCGTGGGAGTCGCTGCCCCATGCTCATTCCTCCAGGCCCAGGCCGCTCCCCAGAGGAGCCCCTCTGCCCCAGGAGGGCTGGAACCACTTCCGATTCTTTAAAACCTCGATGCATTGAAGAATGGAAAACATTTCGTGGCATATTTTAATCATTTATATTTAACAGATCACTGCTCTTAATATATACAAAATACAATGAAATAAAATTGTGCTTTTCAAATGGATTACAGAGTAAAATTATATTAATTCATCGTTCATTGCAGGCCATGTGTTCTGGTAATGGAACAGACATTTGACTTTATATAATGAACGTTTTCTTCTTTCAATCCCTTCACTGATTCTCTCTGACTCTCCATAAAACCTCACTGAGACAACAGAGAACCTTTGAGAGAAAACCTTTGAGCGCCTTAGAGAACGAGCAGCCTCAACAGCCTGCCGGTGCTAGGCCCTGTTTATACTGCCTTTAAGAAAGAAAGCAAAGTTGTGCGTCAGAATCATCGGGTGGGGTGGGCGGGGGAGGCTTTTAAAACATCCTGAAGCCTGTGTCCCACTCTCTAGATTCTGATTCAGTTGGTTTAGAGTGTGGTCCAGGCATCTTCATAGTTTTGAAAGTTCCTCAGCTGATGCTAATGTAAAGCCAGGGCTGAAAAATACCATACCTGCAAGTAAGAGAGCCTGGCAGAGGAATCCTCTAAAGTTTTATTAACTCATTTGCAGATATTTGTTAAAAGACGAACAATGGTTTTAAAAAAAAATAGATCAACAAATGGGAGCAAAAGGAAGTTTCAATAAAAAGTCTCACTGAGGACAGACTGCGGGGCACAGCAAAGGCAGCCTGGCCAGAGGCAGAACACAGGGCACAATGAAGGCCCAACCACCAAGAGCAATAGACCAGATAGATGTTTGCACATTAAGGGGGAAGGAATCCAAAGGAATTGTGAACGGTCTGCTAAAGTTCGCCCATTCAGTTTGCAAATGTCATGTGGCAGCATCCTGAGCTGGCAGTTATGAGGTCCCCAGGGTGGATGGAAAGACACCTGCTGGGCCCTCAACCCCTATGTTGGAGATCTCAGCACTGGTCAGAGAGAGCCACCATGGCAACCAGGCAGACCACACTAAGAGAAAGAAAAGATTCTCAGGCCGTAACAGGACAGCCAATCTACTGCTGAAATATGGGTTATGTGTCCCCAGAACCCTGGAAGTCAATTTTCTGTGTCAGACCTCTCTAGTCAGGCTTCTATATCTGGGGGCAGTGATGAGGTGGCCCCTAAGAACTTGAGTATTCTCTGAGAGCTGAGTTATAAAATCAGTATTTAATAGACCAGAAGAGTCACTCTAAGGAGAATAGCTCTTGAATCAGAGCAAGATAGATCATTTAACTATGAAGTAATAAGTTATCCATCAAAGGGACAATCCTCAGCCATGGAGGTATAGAAAACAAAGGAAGACACTGTTCTTGGGCTTGCTAAGCTCCACACTGGGGACACAGTGCCCTGGTCAAGGAACTCAACCTGACTATCCTAAGCTTCCACCTTAGTGTGGGCCCCCATCACACCTGGATTATCAGGAAGTCTCCTAGCTGGTCTCCCTGTTTCTGCCTTTGCTACCCCCATTGATCAACCAAAGTGACCCTGTCACAACATGAGGTAAATCATGCTTTTTTTTCTGCCCAAACCCTCCAGGGCTCCCCAACTCAGAGAAAAAGCCAAAGTCCTCACAACAGCCTATATATGGCCTTCTATGACTGGATCCCCCCACCTCTGGGAGGCATCTCTTCCTGCTCAGGCCTCCACCACCACCACCTCTACCCTCTACCCCCCACACCTCATTCCCACTTCCATCCCATCCTACCTCCCTGATGGGCTTCTAACATGCCAGGTAAGCTCTCCTGCCTCAGGGCCTTTGCACTTGCTATTAGTGTTCTAGAATGTTCTTCCCTTGGGTAGTCACATGGCTCAACACTCGAGTCCTTCAGGTCTTTACTTCAGGTTGGAGGCCCATCCTGGCCACTTTACTTAAAATAACAAGTTCTCCCACCCCTCACTATACTCATACCCCCCTTCCCCACTTTAGTTTTCCCCATATCCCTTATCACCACCTATATAGTATATATTTCACTAATTTGAATATTATATCTCTTCCCATTGGAATATAAATTCATGAGGGCAGGGATGTGGGCTGGTTTTGTTCACTGCTGTGTTCCTAGTGCCTAGACCAATGCCTGGAAATTAGGAATTCAGTAAATACTTGTCGACAAATCAATCAGCCCAAGTGTCTAGGGGGTCTCTGCTGTGCCAGTGGCTTCACCCAGCTTTCTGAACGACTCAAATGTGAGTCGATGGCGGGTAACTACCTTTTCCATAGCAACCTTTCCATGATGATTTGGCCTCCCACGAGGTAAAGCAGGAGAAAATATGCTGGTCAGAAGACATGTAGCCTGGTCCCATTCAAAGTTCCTGTAATGAAGGAGTCAGAACCAGCATGGCGATTTATTACTTGTTCATTTCACTTGGGGCTTCAGACGGCAAACAGCTCTGATGGCAGTGAGTTCCCGGTCCTGGTCTTGACCGCGAGAGGCCCCGGCCACCCGCTCAGAGGCCGGCCTCCCTCGGGACCCCCGGAGCTCGGCTTGTGCTTCTCCTTCAAACTCGGCCTATTGTGTGTCGGGAGAGCAGACAGCAGTCACCCGGCATACGGGCATCTGACAGTCCAAACAGAAGCCGTTCCCAAATGGCTGGGTGGGGCGTGAGGTGCTGTCCCGGGTCGCCATCACTGAGGCACAGATCTGAATCCGGCAGGCCTGCCGCGGAACAAAGCCGGCAGTGTGGCTCGGCCCGGCCGCTGTCTCCTCCTGCGGCCGCCTCCTCCGTCCCCTGCAAGCACAACAGAGGTCTGTCTGTGGAAAACGGCCCGCCTGAGCATCCCCACCACTTGTGCTGCTAGTGCGGACGCAGAGGGCTAGCATCCTAGCATTTCGTTCCTTTCAGATGAAGTTCGGTGTTATTCAAAAACCTGGTGAGTCACCAAGATCTGTTCTCCAAACCACAGCTTTCTTGTCTTCACCGCCGGTGCCTAGCATCCCCCAAGGGGGAGTAAGTCAAGGACAGGGCTTGTCCTCAAGGAGACTACCACACCACCTCCTCATCGGCTCCAGCACCTCGCCCTGCATTCTCACGTAGGTGGTGCGGTGGTTGAGAACACGCTGTGGAGTCAGGTGACCTCGGTTCAAATCCCAGCGTGGCCTCTCTCCAGCTGAGTGACCACTGAGGAGTGTTTTCTTGTTTGTAAAATGGTTTTGCAGGAGAGTTCTGTAGATCAAATCATGTAGGTGATGGCAGGTCATAGTATCCAATCTAGAGTATGATGAACACTCCACGTCTAAGTGGTAGGAATAAGAAGTAGATGTCAGCCCAGGATCTGCGGGTACTTAGCTGCTAAATGCCATCACCAAAGTGTAGGCAAAGGTTGAGACACCGGGACTGGAGCATGTGGAAGGCTTCACAGGACAGGGAGGAAGAAGAGCGGTTACCACAGAGAACAACAGACTATGGTTTGGTCATCTCTCTTTACAGCCCACTTTAAATGTTCTCCTGAACAGCACACGTCCTAATGCTACGGTATTTCAACAAGGAGTAACATAATGAGGACTGACTCGGTCATTATTGTGAGTCCATTGTCCGTACAAGATTGTTCCTTCTATGCTTGTACGGTGGGCTTCCAGGTCTCAGAGGGCTTGGTACAGAGCTAGAGTCCACCCTCCTTCTTACAACATTTTTTTTTCCTGGTAGTTTAAATTTTAAAATTTATCTTTAGTTATCTCTAATTTTATTTTTATTTTTTAAATGGAAAATACATTCAAATTCAAAAGATATAAAAGTATACAATAAATATCTTCCTCCCACCCCTGTCCCCCAGCCACCCAGTTCCCAGACCCCAAACCAAACAATGTTACCTTGTTACCAACTGTCATGATCTACTTACAGAAATAACCTACGAATATATGAGGAAATATATTTATTTTTATTTTCTCTTTTACTTAATAGCATATAAAATAGTTCTGCCCTTTTTTTTCCCTTGGGAAAATTCCATAATGCTATATAAAGAGCTTTCTTTTTTTTTTTTTAAACGACTGACACCTATAGTTTTTAATCCTTCAGATAACTGTGCAATTTATCATGAAATCACCTGTCAGCATGAGTACCTAAAAAGTCAAATTTTCTTTCCGTGGATTCCAGAATAGGAGCCATTAAAAAGCAACATTTTTCAAGAAAGCTCTTTCTCTGGGATTACAAGTTTCACCTTTCCTGTAAGTACTTTGGTTCAGATAAAGAACACAGGCTCAGAGAATTGATGGTATTCCCCAGTTGCAGCCTTGTACCAAATATGTAGCTGGCACCTGCTATTCCAATCGGCTTACAAGAGAGTTCATAAATGGGCAAGGTGATGAAGAGAATGATCAAAACTAGATGTGAAATACCGACAGATACACTGAAACATCGTCAGTTCTAAGCTGAACCTAATTTGCTAAATCCTTACCTGTTCTCCGATTTTTTTCAAGGTTTTTCTCCTCAAGGGAACCATTACGAATCAAAACCGAAAACTGCATTTTCTAGAACTACTAGGTTGAATGAACAAAAGAAGAACCAAGTTGTCTAACCAAACTTGATCTACACCAATATTTGATTTGTTTCAGGGCATAGTTACTTCAAAAGCCACTCAGAGGCATAAAGTTCAACTTCTCAGAGTGAATGCCTTGAACGTCATTTAGTAATATTTGCAATTGGCATGACGTCAGGGCCAAGATACTAAACGCTGAGCATAGTGCCCCTCTTAGTCTTAGGCTTCAAGTACCTATTTTTAAGGTGTGAAAGCAGCAGACATCAGTACAATCATCATTAATCTGGTGAACAGAAGCAGAATTCTGAGCTGTCTGCTGTAGATATTTCTGGTAAGTGCTGCAGTACCACCTTCTAAATATACTGGTAGTTAGCTCTTTTAGACCAAGTGGGGAGCCTTATTGGAAAGGGGTTCTCTCTGAAGAGCTGAGCTCCTCCCAAGCCCAACAGGAGGAATTTGATGAGTCTGGAAAGTGATGAACGAGGCTTCCAGATGGAATATGCGAGGATGCTGTGCAGGGTCCTGGGAGCAGGAACCTGGAGAGGGGTCTGGACCTGGGACAGGGCTGGACTGGGGGAGAGCTAGACAAAGCAGGTAGGTGAAAGAGCCATGCCAAAAGCAGGATCTCCTGCCTGACCAGGCCCCAAGTGTGGATTCTTTAATTTTCCACAGCACAGCTGATACGAAGTTCTTACGGCTTAAATCCTTCATCTTTTTTTTTTTTTTTAAGATTTTATTTATTTATTTGACAAGAAGAGAGCACAAGTAGGCAGAGTGGTAGACAGAGGGAGAAGGAGAAACAGGCTCCCTGCTGAGCAGGGAGCCCGATGCGGGACTCGATCCCAGGACCCTGGGATCATGACCTGAGCCAAAGGCAGACGCTTAACGACTGAGCCACCCAGGCGCCCCTTAAATCCTTCATCTTACCCCTTCCCTTCTCACATAATCAAGAGGATCTTTATTGTTCTTAGTCCTGCCATGCTTTGGGCTCAGGGCTTTTGATTTGTTATTCAGTTCTCACAATATTTCTGTGAAGGGGATACTATATCCCGATGCAGACAGAAAACTGTCTCAGAGCGATTAAGTGACTAGCTCAACGTCACACAGTGTTTGGGAATGTGGCTATCATTTATTAAGTACCTACTTCTGGAATTTTTTTTATCACTTCCTATGTTATTTATAAAGGGAGTACTGCAAAATGATTGAGGACTTCACTTTCTGGTTAGTCCAATACTCTCAATAATTCAATAAAATCCAAGTAGGCCTGTCCTACCATTGAGGAAATGGAGGCTCAAAGGCAGGTTGGTGAGTTGTCCGAGGTCACTCAGTAGAGAAGTGAGGCTGTGACCCCTAGTTCCAGCACACTGCCTTTCTCACTGTAATGCTGGGTCAGCTTCCCCACTGTGCTTGCAGACAAGTCCAACAACTCAGCAGTTATTAGCTGGAGCCATTTCCTGGAGCGACTGGAAATTTAAACCACTACTAAAATAAGGTCTGATGCATCTGGCCCCTTTCAAGTTAGAAAGCATGTCCAGATAGGCCGATGGGACTCACAGCAACAGAATATCACATGTTTCTAAGTTGCTCTGAAGGTGGCTTCACAGGGACAACTGGCCCTGTCCTAGGCAGACTTCTGGTACACGTTCACCCAAGGAAGTGAAACCGTTCTTCAAACCAGACAGGCCACTATAGCAGTCCCGCAGCCCCATCTCTGCCACAGGAATGATGGGATTGGGACATCCTGGCAGCAGAGCCAAGTGGGAGGAACCAGTGATCCCTAGAAAGGCTTCAGCTGTGACCCAATCCCAGATTAACCTCGCCCTAGCCCAGGGGCCTGGCATGGAGGCAGATGCTCAGATGCCCAGCTCGTTTCTCCAGGTTCCTGGCCTAGATCCCTAGCAGAGCATCCTCTGTACTCTGCCCAGAAGTCCGCTTCACTTCCCAGAGCTTACTACGTGAGTTCTGTTGCTTCCTCCTGTGACCAAGTGGAACTTGCCATGGCTAACTGTGACCCTGACCAACTGGAATTCAACATTCGACTTGACATTAGTTCCTGGTTCTGCCAGGGCCACTCTGATGGCAACTGAAACCCGTTTACGTTTGCATGGAGGTGGCAATTGGAGAGAAGGGGAAACCACTGGGTTTTGGTTCTTCTCCCCTCTCCCTTCATATCGCTATGGAAATGTCACACCTTGCCTGCTTCCCCCACTGAGACAGATCAGAGCAGCACATAAATCTCTGGGGACACGGTGACAGGACCAGAGACTCTCTTCTCCAACAGAAATGAATGCAGAGAGGGGACTTTCAGAGCTTCCCTTTGCACCACCTTCATGCCCAGTGCACAAAGCAGAACAGAATACCTATCGATCTAGCAGTGCGGACCTGGGAAATGGGCTGGGGTTTCTGAGAAGCAGGGAAATGGCATCCAATGTAATCTGGTTTAAATTAGCACAGATTTGAGCCAAATCCCCATTGACTCTGAGCTCTGTCACTCAGTCTGTGTAATCTTGGGCAAAAGATACTAGATATCTCTGATCCTTTTAATTCATCTATGAACAGGAGATAGAATCTCCAGGTTTATTGTGAGGACTACCGCATGAAGCCCATTTTAAGAGGTTCCAACCATTTCCTTTCTTCCCTCACATACCCTTTAAGACAACCTCTCCATCTCATACCCACCCCACGCCCAACCCACAGCTGATTTGTCCAGCTTGGGTCAGGTGTTCCCCCACTGGCCTAAGGAACCCTGTGAACTAAAAGATGTCTGGGCCATTTAGACATACTGGAAGATGCTGAGAAAGCCAAGCCACAGGATGTAAAAAAGGAAAAAAGAATAAAACAGATTCATAAAGAAAAGAAGCTGACAGAGATTACAAAGCCCCACATAGAAGGCAAGCTTAGTTCCAGATGGGACTTTGGCCTCATGTGGGATTCACCAGGTCCCTGTACCCATCCCTGATCCTTTGTATCTTGAATGAGGATGGTGTGAGCTGTCCAATTTCTGGCAACCAACAGTGACAGACCGCAAGAGAGGTGGTGTGAAGTACTGTACTCAAGTACCTATTATGTGTAGGTGCTAGACTCACAATAGCTATTATTTCAAAACATCTCACTCACAGTTTACTGCTATATGCCTAATAGTTATGGAAGATACTAACATAAGCAGATACTCAGTGGGACTACCTGAAAGGCTTAGTCAAACTAGCTCATTTCATGAACAATGTCTATGGCAACTGCAGAAGGAAGCGTAGGACAGTGAACACACTCTTCTATTTTTTTATATAAGTCTTTCACATTAAATAAACGCCTCCTTGACTACTGGAGAAAAAAATAATTATATTCCACTGAAGCTGAGAAATAAAGCAACCTTTGTTTATTCTTTTAAAAGATAAACATGACTGATCTGCACTAATCATAACATTTGAATGAAATAAAACGATGTTCAACATTGTAGTCTATAAATAATTAATACCCTATTTTACTAATTCTGTTAGCCAAAGATAAGACTGCAAATGAGAAAATTGGATAATGCTTACTGATTTAAAGGTATCAGACATGGTATTTGATTCTGAGGAAATGAAGACATAAATGGAAAAAAAAAAACCAAAACGCCTATAGCAACAAACCTGGCAAAGAATGACATTTAAAGGTCGATACATAAATTTCACATGCTTGACTTGACAGACTGAAACATTTTTCAAGTCCTTAATTATGAAAACAGCAGCAAAACGTAAGACAATTAAAACCTGGCATTTAAGACTCTGCTGTGTTGTTACGAATACATGTAGGACAACTATATCAGTGAAGCCCAGGAAACTACTCTATTCCCAATTACTACTCTATGCAAACCAACATGCACGGACTCTGCTGCACTTTCAAATGGGTTCCCTTGTTCTGGGTTTAAACTGTGCCTATAGATACAACAGCCTGAGCGTCATGGGGTTGTCATGCATGGCTGCAGACCCAGTCTCACTGCATGACAATTATTACAGCACATCAACAAGTCCGTTTGTAATGAAAATAGCAAAACCAGGCTCAAGTGGACGCCCTCATGTTATAAATACATCACATATCAAAATTACAAATTACAGAAATAAAGACAAATAATGGCATGAAGGGCATGATAGTTTATTTTAAAAAACTGTACCACACTGATCATAATGACCAGCATACACATTATGATGGCTTTTCTCTTGGGTATTAACATTGCAGTATTTTTGTATACTGAAATGTTTTAATAGGACCAAGAACGTTAGAGAAATAAAGATCTTAGATGAAAATGAACACTAGTAATTCTGGTGTCCTACCCCCACAGAATTCATTTAAACCCCTTATGAATCAGTGGCATTATAATGTTATGTAGTTATGAAGAACAAAAGTTCTCTTCTAAGTAGGCAGCATGAACTTATACCTCCTGTACTTTAATCTTTAGTTTTTATAATTTAAGCTATGTCCACCCTGGCTAAAGCACAATCATAAAGACACCTCAGATAATTTCCATGCTACCACTGCACAACTTTAGTGATTTTACTTAAGAAAAAAAAAAAAAAATCAAACCACCATCAAAATAAAGAGGCAAATAAGAATGATTTTCAAATCATTTGAAAAGCATAGTGCTTATCTGTCCGATACAGACTCAAACTTAAATTAAATGCTATAATTATAATCTCCAAACTTCTGCAATAAAGTTAACATATATATATATACATATATATATGTATATATATATATGGGTCTTGCTTATAGAACTGTATTTTGCAATCAACAAGAGGAAGTTACTTTTGAGAGAACAATGTATTTGGTTACAATCCCATGTATCTGGAGTAGAGACAAAGCCACATGATGTTAAATCTGGCTCTAGGTTACCTAAGGTATAAAATTTTGATCAAAATTACGATAGTCTGATAAAAATCCAACCCATATGAGATGATTTTTTAGAGTAAATGTGTTATTGAGTAATTATTTCAATAACCGTTTCTTTTTTGACTGTCTGCAAATTGACCCTTTCTTTTTTAATCAATGTGACTCACCAATATTTCAAATTGACCTCTTTACTTCCGTGTTACCATTTCAATATCCAGGGACTTCTGAGGCAGCATAAGTCTGACTTCATAAAAACAGTAGATACTTTAACCTTTCAGTGACAATTTTTAAATCTGTAAACTCAAGAATCACATTATTTATAGCTCAGCAACTATAAAAACATTGAGATTTTGGCATCTGAAGCCAGAATCTCTTTGTGCTTTTTAAATTAAGCTGCTTTTGAATCTTTTTGGTATTTATCAGCCATTCATATTTCCCTTATAATAATAAAAGAATATATTTAAAATAACTTTTAAAGTTAAATGTCCTGGGGGCTTATCAATATTTAAAAAAAAAAACAATTATTTTTTTCTCCTTCAGCATTTGGAATAGTAGAAATTATTTCTGGTCCCTCTTTAGATCAACCAACACTACTTTCAATCACGTATAACACTGAATTTTACAGACATCCCTGAAAAGTTTTTGATTAAGTAAACGAGTGAATCACAGTGGAGTCTCAATCAGTTAACAGTGTAGATCCATTAAAAAAGAAAAAACTGAATATTAAAATCTTCAAGCTAAAAAAAAAAAGAAAGAAAGCCCTCCTAAGAATTAAAACCAAGTGTGTGTCATCACTGATTCTGTGCTTGTGTCCCCAACCGATTAGACTCCTCCTTCTCTGTGTTATAAGACATGCTCGTTTCAACCTCCACGCCAAGTCTCCAGGACACTTGATTGAAGAGGCTATGTTACTACAGCATCTAAGGGAATAGAGTGGCACCATTTTCTTCCCTAATAGACTTCATGTTCAAAGATGAGCATCAGGCCTCCCTCCGCTGCGCTCACCAGCGTGTATCAGGGGACAAAACTTGCCGTGAAAACTGATGACAGCTGATCCGCCCAGCCTGCCCCCAGCGCCAATATGAGGTTACCAACAGGTTTGTCATTATATGCACTAGCCTTTCACTCTTTCGATCAGAAAAGTTGTGGTTACTTAAAAAAAAGGGAGGGAGGTGGAGAAATGAAAAACCAAGAGTTTAAAGGCACAAAGTCGCATAGCTGCTCTAGTTGGAGTTTGTAAACAGAGAACAGGTTGAATTTAGGTAATCCCAATCTATGAGAGTAAAAAGGCATCCACAGCAGGCTTTTATCCAGCCAGCTTCTTTGAGACCCTTCATGGGTTTTGAGGTCTACAAAGTATGCACTAAAATACCCATACTTCAAAAAGCAATAAGGCAAATAGTATAATCATTATTCCAAAAGTTACAATGGTAGTGTAGGCATACATAATATAATTTAGTTACAATGTGTGGTACTGTTTCTATTATATAACCATATTAACTGTTTCTTTCCTACATAATTATATATTCAGCCGAGCTTCAGTTGAACACAAAACCATCCTTGTACCACCACTGATAGTTGGCAATAGCTCTTTGATAGCAGTTTTTATTCTGCTGTAGAAATATCCTTGAACTGAAAAAAGTCCACAACCCAATGACCAGTCATTAAACACTATCATATTTATGAAGAGCTTCTTCCAACTTCTGTGTCACTTTTTGGAAAAATATTATTTGCTGTTGTAAGAAATGCTGCATCTGTGATTTAAAGTCTCTTACTCGAATTTGATGGAAGTGGTGAATTTCAGCCAAAGTGGCAAAAGAAATAGTGTTACAGCGATCTTGAATGCCATCAGCCTTTTGCAGCTCCATCTTCCCTTCTTCCACGTGTCGCCTACTCTCCTTTACTTTGGTAAGAGCTCCTGTAGTTAAAAAAAAATTAATTAAATACATATACACATGTATCCCACTGGCAAAGCTACATAGTAAACAGACTCTTGAGCATTATAAATACTTGCCTAAGCTATTTAAAGCCCTTTGGAACTTAAAGGGAACTTAAATGACTGTTACTAGAAAACAAAGGAATCTGATAGGGTTTCTGAAAACCCCTACACCGCTGCGATTTCACTTCTCAAAACCAGCACTTGCCAAGTGACCAACTATCTACAGTATGTTTCATCTCCTCCAAGTAGAGAGACTATATGGAATAGATCATAAACTGCAAGGAGCTGTCTTTAAAAATACAAACCAAGAAACTGCGATTTTTACTTAAGGGAAAGCGTATGACACCATGACACACACCTATAATAAGAAAGTTATCTATAAACACATTACCCCAAAGAAGGTGCATATCTACTTCCACAGAAAGTCTCCCCGAAGAATTCTTGTTGAAGATTCTAGAACTAGATCCTGAAACATGTTAGTGCCAACTCTGTGTTTCAGAAATCATGCTATGTCACGGAGGGGCCTTGGAAATGATGGCAGTCTACAATGGGAGGCCACCCTCAATGGGGCTGGCCAGGGAAGAAGGGGTGATTCCATGTGCCACCAGGAGACTCACACCTGGAGCACTGAGGCCCTGTGAAGTAAGAATTTCTTGAGGAGCTGTAAGGATCAAGGAGTTTTGAGTCCGCTCTAGTCATGACCTGGGAATGAAGCCAGAGGGGCCATAGCCTCTTGTCAAGAAATGTCACCAGAGGGTGTGTGCAAAGGGGAAGGAAAGGGACGGTCACTCTGGCAGGTGCCACATGAGGGCAGACCTTCCCCCAAAAGCATCATCACATGAAGACAGAGAGCTAAGGATGTTTAAGGGTAGGAAACAAAGGATCTTCACGGGTTCTTAGAAATGAATGATGATAAAGCTCAAATCACTTAAACATGGCCAGCTCAAGAATTCAGATTTCCTGACTCCATCTAGCACTTACTCTACTAACCCAAGACGAAAGGTGAGAGAGAAATGTCCAGGACACCTGGCTGGGCAGTCTTCAACATGGTGATACTAAAGCGGACAAAAGAAGGGAACCCGTTTAGGAGGAGCTAGGAAAGCTGAGGAATTCTGGTTCAGAAATGTTCAGTTTTAGCTGATGGTGAAATACACAAGGGGAAAAGCCCTATTTCTAAATTTCTTCAAATCTCCTAAATAATACAGAGTTAAACCTAGCATTGCATAAAACCCTTAGGGGGTAAACAGCATGCTTTTTGGGGGGGGGGGGGCGCATTTTTTGGCATAGCTCAAAGACCTGAGAAATTAAAAGTGTTATATATACATTTAGTGATTATGTATGTACATTTGCACTTCTTTATTCTAAACGAGGGCTTTAAGTGAGAAGCAGTAGAGACTTCCACTTGACCTCACAGCAGAGATGCGGGGTCTCCTCGGTAGACAGAAATCATTTGCATTAACATGGTTTCAAGTAGAACCCTGACCAATCCCACCAGGAAGCCATCCCTCTGAAAGTGGGCACTTGTCACCCGTCTGCCATTGCCAGCAGGACTAGGAAAGCCATAAAATCTGCCTGCTTGTCATTTCTACTAAAGAGAAAGAACCCTCCCCGCAAAAAGAGAAAGAAATAAATTTTTATAGCGAATTTATCTTTCGTGTATTTGTACCAGTCTCACAATTTATATACAAAAATTAAAGTCGAAAAGACCAGGAAAGCATATGAGACAGAAATAAAGGAAAAAATTTTCAAAAAGATGACTGAGAATATGCAATTATGAAATACATGTTTCAAATGGCAAAGAGAGAGACAGAAAGAGAGGAAACGGGAAGTTAAGAGAAAAGACTCAGGTGACTTGACTATTTTATCATGATTCCACTCCCAGGCGCCCAAGCGCACTGGGCAAACAGTGAGAACATGCGGCGTCCTACCCTGAGCGTCCGTGATGCATCTCTGCAGCATGCTGCAAGTATTACTCGTTCCAGTTACTAGAGCCTGGAGAATAGAGTCCCGCAGACAGGGCTTCTGAAGCCTGGCCTGGAGCTGGGTGAACGTCAACTAAGCTGCAGCTCATCCAACTCTGAATGAGATCACCATATTCTTAGAAATGACCCTCTAGTATACAGAATTACAGATGTGCTCTCTAAAAACCAACTTAAACGTGAACAAGTCTTAAGTTCTCGCAATTTATCACCCAGGCATACATTTTTAAAACTCTTGGACACAACAGCAAGTATTAAATCTCTCTGAGGCCTAAGGACTTTTGTCATTTAAGTTTTTTAAGTGTACATCCCAAAGGAGTCAACAGGAATTTAAGACTCATTTTTCTCCCAAATATGAATTTAGTAAATAACACAAATGTTGCCACCTGCAAAGTCCCCAAAAGGTTCGGCTCTGGGGCAAGGATTTTAATTCGTTCAACAAACGTTTATGGAAGACCTGGTGTGTATAGAGCATACTGCTACAACAAGGAGATTCAAGTATTTCAGCATTCAAAACCCCACCCCCTGCTTCTTTCTTGAGGAAGCCACTTGGCAAAGCACATGGGGAGGACAGGCACACAATCAGGACATGAAGTGAAACAGAACCACAAAGTACATAATTCTGCATCAAAGTTAAATATGTCTTTCTTCAAGATAATATGTGAAATTGTATCACCAGGGAAAATGCTCAGAGGACCTACTACATGCCAGGCACTGTGCTAAGGACAAGGTTGGAGGTGGGAAGTGAGCAGGGAACACGCATATATAAATAAGTAAATGGTAGCTTCCCAAAACAGTAATAGCATATGCTAGACACTATGCTAAAATGTGTATGGAACCACGAAAGACCCTGAACAGCCCAAGCAGTCTGGAAAAAGAAGAACAAAGCTAGAAGTATCACAATTCCAGATTTCAGGATATACTACTACCAAGCTGTAGTTATCAAAACAGTATGGTACTGGCACAAAAATAGACACATAGGTCAATGGAACAGAATAGAGTCCAGAAATAAACTCACCATTTTTATGGTCAATTACTACAAAGGAGGCACGAATTTACAATGGGAAAAAGACAACAGTGCTGGGAAAACTGGACAGCTGTATGCAAAACAATGAAACTGGACCACTTTCTTATACCATGAACAAAAATAAACTCAAAATGGATTAAAGACCTAAATGTGAGACCTGAAACCATAAAATTCCTAGAAGAGAACATAGGCACTAATTTCTTTGACATCAGTGGTAGATACTTTTTCTAGATATGTCTTCTCTGATAAGGGAAACAAAAGCAAAATTAAACCATTGGGACTACAGCAAAATAAAGTCTTTGCACAGCAAAGGAAACCATCAACAAAAATCCCACCTACTGAATCAGATATTTCAAATGATTTTTTTATTTTATTATGTTATGTTAATCACCATACATGACATCATTAGTTTTTGATGTAGTGTTCCATGATTCATTGTTTGCATATAACACCCAGTGCTCCATTCAATACATGCCCTCTTTAATACTCATCACCAGGCAAACCCATCCTCCCACCCCCCCCACCCTCTAGAACCCTCAGTTTGTTTCTCAGAGTCCATAGTCTCTCATGGTTCTCCCCCTCTGATTTCCCCCCCTCATTGGTCCCTTCCTACTATCTTCCGTTTTTTGTTTTGTTTTGTTTTAACATATAATGTATTATTTGTTTCAGAGGTACAGGTCTGTGATTCAAGTCTTACACAATTCACAGTGCTCACCATAGCACATCCTCCCCAATGTCTATCACTCAGCCACCGCATCCCTTACACCCCCCACCACTCCAGCAACCCTCAGTTTGTTTCCTGAGATTAAGAATTCTTCATATCAGTGAGATCATGATACTTGTCTTTCTCTGATTGACTTATTTCCCTTAGCATAATACCCTCTAGTTCCATCCACGTCGTTGCAAATGGCAAGATTTCAGGGGTTTTTTTGATGGCTGCATAATATTCCAGCAAATGATATTTCTGATAAGGGGTTAATATCTAAAATACATAAAGGACTTCTACAACTCAACACCAAAAAACCAAATAATCCAATTAAAAAATGGGCAGAGGACCTGGACAGACATTTTCCCAAAGAAGACATACAGATGGCCAACAGATACATGAAAAGATGCTCAACATCACACATCATCAGGGGAAATGCAAATTAAAACCACAATGAATTATCACTTTATACCTGTCACAATGACTAAATAAAAAACACAAGAAATAATAAGTATTGGTGAGGATGTGGAGAAAAGGGAACCCCCAACACTGTTTATAGGAATGCAAATTGGCAGCCACTGTGGAAAACAGTATAGTTCCTCAAAAAATTAAAAATAGAATTACCACATGATCCAGTAATTCCACCACTGGGTATCTGCCCAAAGAAAATGAAAACATTAATTTGAAAAGATATGTATACCACCCCCCCCAATGTTTATTGCAGCCTTACTTACAATGGCCAAGATATGGAAGCAACCTGAAAGTCCTTGATAGAATGGATTAAAAAGATGTGTCACTCACTCACACACACACACACAGACACACACACAGACTGGAATATTACTCAGCCATAAAAATTAATGAAATCTTGCCTTTTGCAACAACATGGATGGAGCAAGAAGATGTATAATGCTAAGTGAAATAAGTCAGCCAGAGGAACACAAATACCATATGCTCTCACTCACAGGTGGAATTTAAGAAACAAAACAAAGTGAAAAAAGAGACAAAACAGACTCTTAAATACAGAGAACGAACTGGTGTTTGCCAGAGGGGAGGTGGGTAGGGTATGGGTGAAACAGATAAAGGGGATTAAGAGTACACTTATCTTGATGAGCAATGTACAGAATTGCTCAATCATTATATTGTACACCTGACACTAATGTAACACTGTATGTTAATTACACTTGTATAAAATGTGTGTGTGTGTATATATATATACAGACACACACACATATATTTTTTTAGGCACTTTTCATATACTATCACT